TCCAAATCCCCGTGTGGTGTGCGTTAAGGATGCAACCCCGGCCCTGGCCATCGCCATCTATGTCATTTTCCTGATACAGCAGCAAACCCCCTAGCAGGCCCCTTGAACGGGCATCCCTCACCCCCACTCCAACCCTTCTGAGCACCAAAACTCTTTACTGTTGGGCTTCAGACCCAACAGAACGTGGACTCGGAAACGTCCTGCCCTACAAGTGCTGCTTGATATCTGGGAGACCCCCCGGGAGGCGACATCGCCCACTTCAGATCCCAGCGCCTCAGAATTCCACTGAGGAAGGAGAGCTTGAAAATAACTCGCCAATCAGAAAACACATTCAAGTAAAGCTCCCTGACATCTTCCAGATTTACCACGCTCCAATCCGAAAGATCTGTAAATCTACTGCTAAAACTCCAGAACTGATATCCCCTCCTCACCAAGTTCTCGGTGCGGTCGCTTCCCAGACTGCGCACAAAATCGGATTGCCCTTCCACACGATGCATGGGGATCACATGTGGATGCTCCACTAGGGAAAGAGGGCTGTGAGTACGGGGCGGGCCAGACAGACGTCACAGGAACCAGGCACGCGGTGAGGGGCAGAGTCAGGCCCACGTCAGCCGCTGGCCCACTGTGACCCCTCTTTGCAACAAAAAAAGGGAAAACAGGCCACAAGCAATATTCAAGATCCTTTCAGCCTCACGAGGTTGTGTATCTCCAAGTGAGTTATCCACAAATCAGAAGACAACAAAACTTCAAACACACGCACCCCTGTCTCCCACCCAGTGTCTTCCACCAGGAACCTCAGACAGTAACGACCCAGAGCAGGCGAGCACCACATTCTGTTCACAGCTGACACCTCGGGCCTCCCGCACCAGAGTCCACAGCTTTAGAAACAAACAGGATTGGCCAGGCGCGGTGGCTCACGCCTGAATTCCCAGCACTTTGGGAGGCTGAGGCAGGTGCATCACCTGAGGTCAGGAGTTTGAGACCTGCCTGGCCAACGTGGCGAAATTCCATCTCTACTAAGCACAGAAAAATTAGCTGGGCATGGCCGGGCGCAGTGGCTCATGCCTGTCATCCCAGCACTTTGGGAGGCCAAGGTGGGCAGATCACGAGGTCAGGAAATCGAGACCATCCTCAGACCCAACCCGGAACGTAGACTTGGAAGTCCTGCCCCTAAAGTGCTGCTTGCTATCTGGGAGACCCCGGGAGGGAAGCGGCCCCTCAGATCCCAGGCCGAGGGCCTCAGAATTCAGTGAGGAAGGAGAGCTGAAAATAACTCGCCAATAGAAAACATTCAATAAATGTCCCTGACTTCCTTCCAGATTTACCACGCTCCAATCCGAAAAGATTCTGTAAATCTACCTGCTAAAACTCAGACTGATATTCCCCTCTCAGCAAGTTCTCGGTGGCGGTCCGCTCCCCAGACTGGCTCACAAATCGGTGCCTTCCACACGATGCATGGGGATCACATGTGGATGCTCCACTAGGAAAGATGTGGCTGTGAGACGGGGCTGGGCAGACGTCACAGGAACCAG